GTTGGAGGAGAGTTGCTCAAGGGTTTGTATGAGGAATTGGTCATCTTCAGGGGGACTCGAAGGGCTACGGTAGACCACGCCGAGAAGGAGAGAATCGGACCCGCGCAGCGGGATTTGGACCCACAGTGCATCGCAAAAGGGTGCAGGGGTGGTGTCAGAGAGGACAATCGGGGTTGGTAGGGCCGCATGTAAGTACAGAGCAACCCCACCAGCCCTCCCTCTTTTTGAGTCAGCTGGAAAAATAGAATAACCGTCTATCGAGATCTCCGCGTTAGAGACATCTGGTAGGAGCCAGGTCTCTGTGAGTGCGATTATGGACGGTTGTTCAAGGCAAGTTGACTGTTTAACATCGCCGAGTTTGTTGAAAAGGCTGAGGCAGTTTTTGTACAAGCTGGACGATGAGTTGCATGAAGCCAAAACCTACATGACATAGAAGGAATAAACCCTCAACAGCAGCGAGGCATTGGATTTAGTCATTTTTAAGCAGAAGCTGAAGATCGCGAAATGTCAGTTCACAAGCGCGAGCACGTCAAATGACATGTTTTTCGGAAAGATCTGACAGTGATTACCCGAAACCTCAATGGATCATCGCTATGGCTGCATCCATAGGTTCACCTATGAGGACACACGTGGTCCTCGCATCCTAAGACCGAAGCCTATACCACTTGGCCTTACGACTGAATTGCACACACATTTCTAGTTTTGACTTCGCTGCGTCCAATAATCGCTACCGAATCATCACTGTATATACGGCTCCCTCACTTTCGCCATTGGGGCTAATTGAGCAGGTAGTGTGGTGATTTTTACAACAGTACGGCTACAGCTTCGCTTTGCAAACCGACCGGGCATCGTAAACAGCACGATTTATTAGGCACTTGGGGAGTAAACCGCCGCAACTTTGGTTGTTTTCAATAATATTGTAGATTATGTCCACGGGTTACAGGTAATTATACACTACTTTCGAAACACTTTTGGGTAAAAGCGGCTTCCTAAAATTGAACTGAATGGACTAGAAGTTACGGTCATATCGGTGAAACATATTAATGGGAGTATAATTCGCTGAGGGTGTTTTTGAATTCTTCCGGTGTGGGCTTGGCAGACGGGCCGCCATTGCACGTCAAATTATGCCATACTCAGCTGCGTGCATGGGTACGTCCCAACAATTTCTATAGGTAGCCAAGGTGAGCATTAACGCCTGCCGTTAGGGGTAGGACGGGCGGCAGTTGGCAGATGGATTAGGCTGTCACGCATACCACTAATGTTCATTGGCCTACGTAGATACTGGCATGTTGTTTAACATGAGGAGCATCCATAAGAGATAACGCATACAATTATGAATGTGAAAGGCTATCGCTGCCCATTGGATTAGGCTAACGTGCTTAGTTGAGCCCTCATAATCAGCATATACACAGGTCTTGCAGGTACAGGAGGAAGTCAAAGTTGGCAGCAGAATTAGCCATGATGAGCATCAATGTTTGGCCCTATATCACGTCAGTGAAGCTTGGTTTAATGACGTATTCTAACCAAGGAGCCTGATTACTTTCAATGGGAAGGATATCATTGCGTTGGCAATTCACATGCAAATATCTTATTATGCTGCAACATCTGCCGCCAAGCTGTGCATACCTGGAAATGGAGATCAAACACAAATATGGCGCTTCCATCACTGCTGCGCAAAGCTTCGACTAACCCTCCATTATATTACGGAATGTAAAGCAAGCCTCACTGAGAACTGTGTTATGCCGAAGTTTTCCGAGAAATAAAACTTTGATACATCCGAGGGGGAAAGTGCACACAAACGACGTTTACCCATTTTCCCAGGTGGAATATGCATTGCACATTCTGTGGATATCAGCTTGCTTTTAAGGAATGCCACGGAACGCAAGAATATTTGGGAGTGAGAAAATGCAAATTGATGGTGGTCGGTGATCTCGAAACCTAAATCACTTAAACAAAATGCTGTAATAAGCGACGTACCACTGAAACGTGAAATAATGAATAGGTTCGCACAGAATTTGCAAATTGGAAAACTCAGTAATTCTGAGGAAAATAATTTCGGTTTGCCTCCAATCAGTGGTGGCGTTGGGCAAGCTGTTGTTTTCCGACAGAACGGTGAGCGTCCAAATACCGGTAAAAGCGGGGAGACTGTAATGAGCCCTGGGAGTGGTGGAATACTGAGAAGATTTCGAAGTTGTTTTAGTTGGTTGAAAATCATGTCGCCCTCGATAACATCGCATGTGTTTAAACGCATCATTTATTGAGTCAATGGCCCCTAGCGCTGAGTATGCATTTGGGCGGCCCACGCGTCTGAGGCTGCGTTGGCTTAGTTTCTTGCTGCCGGTAGCCCGGTGCTGAAGGCTAGTTGCCTTCCTACGTGTTTGATTGAAGATTTACGCAACTCCATACATTTGCCGCCAAAGAGATAAGAATTTGGCATCTCGGTGTTCTGACGCCGGTGAAATTACCAAATTTCTCCTTCCTCCGACTTGTAGTTTTTGTTCAGTCCGCTCAGAAGGACATATGAATCTAATTCGCAGGAAACACGCCTTCAGCGCATGTCCTCAGAGGAAACCTACCCTTTTCATCCAGTAGACATTCCTGCTTTATTCGCAGCGTTGACGGTGTCCTTGAGCTTAGGCGCGCGGTCCGAAGTTGGGCGTGGGGCCT